TAACAAGGTGACTTAATATGTACAGGAAATCAGTATGTGACATGTCTGGAGTGACTACTTCCTGTCAGGACACTAGGAAACTTAGAGAAGAACTACCTTAGCTAGGACTCATCTTGACCACAGACACTGAATCATCCTTAAGTAAGATAAGAGTATCCAAGTAGAAAGGCTTTTAAAGAAGGAGCCTTGGAGATACCCCAATTTGGGAGGATGGAAGAAAAGGTGTCATTACTGGAATGTCTCAAACACACATTTGTCAAGGAACATTTTCAGCTAACATCTTGCTAGAATCTTAAATTCTAACACTGATAAACAGACTTAAACGTACCCACTTTTACATGACCTTTATGTAACCTTTATGTTAACCTTTCCTTTGAGAAAAAAAGACTGAATATTTAAACAACATGTAAAGTATCTACCACCACAACCTAAGTATAGACTACAGTATTCTAAGGGTCATTAAAACCAAGAGACAAAGTAAACATTAAGCTTTGCTGTTAAAATAACAAAAGAAAAACAAAGGACCTATACCTATTAAAGAAACAGAAGTTTCAGTCAACTAATAATCAAAAATAATATACAATTTAACCAAAAACCTAGCATCATCTAACAACAAAATTACCTTTCCATTATCAAAGGCTTGGGTCCTAAGCTAAAGATTAATTTTATCATCTTCATTCTGAACCAGTATCAGTTTTCATTTACCCAAAAGAGCCCTTGTTTGGAGCACTCTACAATCATTTTTGGTCTAATTGGTATAAAGTAGTGGAAAAAATATACCTGATACTGAAAACTACAATCTGAGAATGAAGTGTGACTTACTTATGAAAACTCAACTGCTCATATGACAGTCATTTAAGATTTTTTATTTATTTTGCTTGAAAGAGTTACACAGAGAGAGAAGGAGGCAGAGAGAGAGAGGTCTTCCATCCAATGGTTCACTCCCCAGATGGCCGCAACGGCTGGAGCTGCGCCGATCTGAAGCCTGGAGCCAGGAGCCTCTTCCGGGTCTCCCACGTGGGGGCAGGGGCCCAAGGACTTGGGCCATCTTCTACTGCTTTCCCAGGCCATAGAAGAGAGCTGGATTGGAAGTGGAGCAGCCAGGTCTCGAACCGGCGCCCATATGGGATGCCGGCACTTCAGGCCAGGGCGTTAACCTGCTACATCACAGTGCCGGTCCCTCATATAACAGTCTTGACACAAGAGGGAAAAAATATGTATTTGTGGATGTCCAGAATAAGGCAACATTGTAAACGACTCATAAAATTATTTAGACTTTGGAAATTAAACACACTCAGTGTTCTGCTCCTTTAATTATGATGATGCTCTTTTTGGAGAATGTAACATCCAAACATTCAAGTACAATAATAAGCTTTCAGTTACCAAGCATGGTTAGGGAATGAAGTAAGTTCATATTCTAACTAAAGTTACCACTACCATATGTGAACTGCCAATTTTAAAAGAATTAGATAATGATGATCGATTATTCCAACTGAAGTTATTTTTTGTATAAACTTTTGACTAAGGAGGCACTTGAGAAACTCACAGTGAACTTCAGCTCAAGTCAAGAATTTCTATTAATGCGTAAATTGAAAAGAACTGAGAATTGAGAGCAATTTAGTTCATTCTTATAAATAATGATTTAATTTCTAGAATACATATAGTTTAAGATACAGTCCTGATATGCATAAAAATCATGCTAAATCTGGGGCCAGCGCCATGTCTCACTTGGTTAATTCTCTGCCTGCGGCGCTGGCATCCCATATGGGCGCCGAGTTCTGGTCCTGGTTGCTCCTCTTCCAGTCCAGCTCTCTGCTGTGGCCCGGGAGGGCAGTGGAGGATGGCCCAAGTGCTTGGGCTTCTGCACCCTCATGGGAGACCAGGAAGAGGCACCTGGCTCCTGGCTTCAGATCAGCACAGCGCCAGCCGTGGCGGCCATTTGGAGAGTGAACCAATGGAAGGAAGACCTTTCTCTCTGTCTCTTGCTCACTGTCTATAACTCTCCCTGTCAAATTAACAAAAATATTTTAAAAACAAATAAAAAATAGAAATCATGATAAATCTACAGTAAATATTTAATCTTTCCATAGCATTTTATGGCTCTTAAATGACAAGTGAATACGTAACTTTAAAAATTAAAGAATGGCTCAGAGATTAGAGTATTTAACTGTTTTGTCAATATATAATTACAAAATACCTTACATTCAAAAATAATGAATTTAATAACTGCCAGCACTGGGGTAGAGCTAACTAAACTGCTACTTGTTATATTGCCATCTCATACTGGAGTACCAGTTCGTGTCCCAACTGCTCTAATCCAGTTCCCTGCTAATATGCCTGGGAAGTCAGCAGCAGATGGCCCAGGTACTTAGACCCTGCCATCCATGCAGGAGACTGGATGGGGTTCTGGGCTCCCAATTCTGACCTGGTCCAGCCCTGGCCCATTGAAACCATTTGGGAAATAAGCCAGCAGATGGATGGATGATCCATTTTTTTTTCTCTGTCTCTCCCTCTCTTACACTGCCTTCAAAATAAATTAGTAAATCTTTTTTAAAAATGCATTAATAACAAATGCCCAAATATTTTTGTAGTATATTCATAAGTTATCTAATTATGTCAAAGAACATAAAAAATGTATTATGTCATAGAACATAAAAATGTATTAATTATACAGTTCTGAAAAGATTTATATGAATGCAGAAATACAGCTTTCCTTATGCTCCAAATAAGTATATATCCTATGCACATATATAAAAACAGCTTATTTGATTGAATTTTATCTGGAAATTTTTGGGTAATCCTGCCACCCTTTCATCCAAATTCTCTGAATTCTGTCTCATAATATATACTTTTAAATTGGGGCCAGCACTATGGCATAACAGGCTAAGCCTCTGCCTGCAGCACAGGCATCCCATGTGGGTGCTGGTTTGTGTTCCAGCTGTTCCTCTTCCAATCTACCTCTCTGCTAATGGCCTCGGAAAGCAGTGGAAGATGGCCAACTGCTTAGGCTGGGCACCTACACCCACATGGGAGACCCAGAAGGAGCTTCTGCTCTTGGCTTCAGATTGGCCCAGCTCTGGCCATTGTGGCCATCTGGGGAGTGAACCAGCGGATGGAAGACCTCCCTCTCTCTGTCTGTAACTCTCTCTCAAAGGAATGAATAAAATCTTTAGAACAAATATATAGTTTTAAATTAAACTCAGGATCACTCAACTACATCTGGTATTAAGATAATCTTTGTACAGGTTTACCTTTAATACTTTAAAAAATAACTAACTTCATTATTTTTGAATTATCCTATAGTTAACCTTTAAGACTTCATTTTATGGGAACTTACACCTTATTGTTCATGCAAGAAAATGGAACCTGTCTGCATCCTACTGACACCACAGGAACATTATTTCCTACACCTAGAAGATTTAATAATCACTATCAAAATAAATTTATTTCATCAGTATAATAAAATACCTCAAAAGACATCTTCTACAGCACCCACAACTGCCTAACTAAATTCACCAGAGAGGTCTAGGCTAGTTTTCTGATTCTACTCAAATTTGAAACTACAGTCATATCTGCTCATATTAGCTTTTGTTTTTTTAAACATGCAATGGATATGTTTCATGGAATATCATTTGGCTTTTTTTAAAATTAATTAATTTATTTATTTGAAAAACAGTGTTAGAGAGAGGAAGAAGCATAATCAGAGACAGAGATATACCAACTGCTGGTTCACTCTTCAAATGGCTGCAATGGCCAGGGCTGGGCCTGAGCTAGGAGCTTTTTCTGGGTTTCCCATGTGGGTGCAGAGACCCAAGGACTTGGGCCATCTTCTGCTGCTTTCCCAGGCCACAGCAGAGAACTGGATTGGAAGTAGAACAGCCTGGACTCAAACCAGCACCCACATGGGATGCTGGCTCTGCAGGTAGCAACTTAATCTGCTATATCACAGCGCCGACCCTTTAACTTTGTTTTTTAACATCAGATTACCAACATAGGGTCACACAGGGATACTCGCTGATATTTTCACTGAAAATCACTAAGGCAAAAGTCAGAGCAGGTACTCTAATCACACACATACTCACAGAGTTTAAGCAGCCTTGACTCAAGATCTACAAAAATATTTGGGGGCCAGCACTGTGGTGCAGTGAGTAAAGCCACTATCTACAGTGCTGGCATCCCTTATGGGTGTCGGTTCAAGTCCCGGCTGCTCCACTTCCAATCCAGCTCTCTGCTACGGCCTGGGAAAGCAGTAGAAGATGGCCCAAGTCCTTGGGCCCCTGCACCCACGTGGGAGACCTGGAAGAAGCTCCTGGCTTCGGATCGGCATAGCTCTAGCCACTGTGGCCATCTGGAGAATGAACCAGCAGATGGAAGACCCCTCTCCCTCTCTCTGCCTCTGCCTCTCTGTAACTCTGCCTTTCAAATAAATAAATCTTTTAAAAAAAAAGTATAATTATCTCTATCTAGTATGTGGATTGAGAATGTTTCCTCTCATTAAACAGGGAATTTTGGAGTAAAGAAGGGCATTTAGGTTATCAATAGTTTATTTGAATTTCTAATAACTGCTTTCTAAATTTTTATATTCTTTTCATCAGTAAGAGACTCAGTAGCAGGTGGTATTTTAACCAAAAACAAAGTAAATAAAACTTTACCAACCTATTCTTCTACTGCTTTCCAACTGCAAAAGATCATCAATTTTATTTTCTTGCCTTTGTGGATATTAAGGTAGCAAAAACATTGTTATCCAGAGTAAACATTTTTAAAAATATATAAAATAAGTATTCTACAAAAAAATAAAACCAACCATACCAGTTAGTAACTAATAGACAATTCTTTATAGTAAAATATTAAAAGTCACGAAAGTCAAGTAGTCTTTCCAAAAAGAAGCCAAATGGATGAAAAAAGTTATAAGCTTGCATATTCAGAATTATAGTATTTGGCAGGTTAAAACATAAAAACAAACAAGACTTTTGATAGACTCTTAAACACATGCTACTTACATGACACCTTGTAGCACTTTCTGGGGATCAGGATCAAATAGCCTGTCAACATAGTGGCGACTGCTAGCTGTTACTTCCTAGAAAGTGGGGGAAAAATTATGACATCTGAAGCCATGCAAATCGCAAAGTCACAGCATTACCCACAATACCAAACAGCTATATAATCTAACTTAAGGTAGATGTACTAAAATTTCTATGAAATACTTATTATTTATCTCCTTATGACATAGAATACCTAAGCAGATAATTTTTCATTCAGATATCAAAGTAACTACAAACTTCAATGTTCAGTTTAAGATGCCCAAAATCAGTATTTTCCTAAGAATACTTGATTTCAAAAGTAAGAAAGTCCATGGAATACTATTCAAATTGCAATGCCTAGAAACTGACAGAGGATTTACACAGCTTATGATAATTCTGTGCATTTAAAAGTTAGAATTGGGAAATTATTAAGTATTTTTTATAACTGTGAAATAATTCTGAAGAAGGCTTGTGATAAACAGTAAGGGAAGAAAGAAGACACTCAGTTCTCACTAAACCAGTAACCACACAGTAGAGCCTCTGTGGTGAGCTGTACAAGTTTTGTCAACAGAAGAACTGAGTATATGTGTGTTTCCTCAGTAACTGTTGGACGTCACATATGTAGGAATAAAACATAGGACCATTGTTCTGTTTGGTATATATTAAAGGAGAAAATCGGGCTCTCAAAGAAAAAGGTGAGGACTCCATGGACACTACACAGCGGGTAGTGTAGGTACAAGAGGACTGATGCAGAGGGACCTGACCACCAGTGGACGGATGTAAGTGAAAAACAAAAATGAAAAGAATTAAATTGTCCCAATTTCTCTAAAGGAAATAATGAACAATTAGGGTGACTTACAGGTCTAACAGAGCTATCTCGTCTGAACTACATAAGGCTGGGTGGAAGCAGAAAGAGTACAAACAGCAAGTGGGAGAAACCTCCTCTTAGCTCCAATGTGGAACTGGCTCTATTACACTGTTTCTTGTAATATTTATTGGGAGGGTAACAGTTTTTCACACTTAATTTTCAACATTCTCTAGAATAACATTTTTAAGAATCAGAGAAAAAGGATTTTTGTCCTCTGCTTTTTCTTTCTGATGCCTACTGGAATATGATTATACACTGCTATCTATTAGCAATAAATCATTACAGGAAAGAAGAAATTATTTTTCTAGTTTACTCATAACCAGAAATCAGTTAAAGAATTGCCGAGACCAAAATGCCAGTTTAAACCTCTGAGTTACTAAAAATACTCTTGAAAACTGCACCAACTCTAGTTTTCTCACAACTTAGCTAATCAAAACCTATGCAGAGTTTCATATTCTGAACTTGCTACACATAGTCACAGGCATCTCAAATATCTGCTTTTACTATGAACTCAATTTATAAAGACCAAACAATGGAAGCAAATAAGTGAAAGTGATGGAAATTCTTCTGCCCATCACAGTGCCATTATAGCACTTGCCAACAGGTCTGTTTCCCACAACATAACATATTTACGTGTCCCAACCTCCTACTTTACAAAGGAGGCATATGATCTTTACCCAGATATCACATCAACAAGTGTTAAGAAGATAAACAGTATACAAATATATCATGAAGACCGGCACCGCAGCTCACTTGGCTAATCCTCCACCTGCGGCGCCGGCACCCCGGGTTCTAGTCCCGGTTGGGGTGCCAGGTTCTGTCCCAGTTGCTCCTCTTCCAGTCCAGCTCTCTGGAAGTGGCTCTCTGGAAGTGGCTCTCTGCTGTGGCCCGGGAAGGCAGTGGAGGTACCTGCATGGGAGACCAGGAGAAGCACCTGGCTCCTGGCTTTGGATCAGTGCAGTGCATCGGCCATAGCGGCCACTTGGGGGGTGAACCAACAGAAGGAAGACCTTTCTCTCTGTCTCTCTCTCTCTCACTAACTCTGCCTGTCAAAAAAAAAAAAAATATATATATATATATAATGAAATAATATTCCAAGAGCAAAAGCTAGAGTAAAGCTGAAGAAAGCAGTTTTGTCATACAAACAGGTAAGTTTTGCTACTTGATCTGAATACATGAGCTTTCTGACATTACAGGAAGTTCTGTGCACATCACACCCTTAGCCTCCCCTGTTCCTTTTCACCTTTGTTTCCCATGGACCTATATCCTCTGAATATGGTTTAAGAGAGGGAAAATGGTACTTAGGTAACTATTTTTGGGGCTTAAGGCACGTATATTAAATAACATAATCTTCCTCCATTAATAATAACTCTCTTTGCTGCTCTGTGTCTATTTCATTCAACTAACACTAATTGGAGTACCTATGGCAAAGCAGTGAGAAAAGCACTAAAAATAAAAAATTTAGTAAGCATAGTCCCTACCCTCAAGAATTCATATCCTATTGCAACTGTGTTTATGTTTTTGTGTTCCCTACAAGAAAACAAAAACATACACCATAACAAGCAGCATGGAGGAGGGGGTTAATAAACTGGGAGAATCAGGAAAGGCTTCTTAGAATTGGCTTTAGAAAATGAGTAAGTGCACTAGGATGGACAAGCAAAACAAAAGAATGAGTCAGAGTCACAAAGCTATAGAGAATGCAAAGTCAACATATTAAAACCATCAGCAGGTACACCAGCTGTGGGCACTGAAAAGACGTGGTGGATAAGGAGAATGTACAACACAACAAGCCGGCCAACAGGCAGCTCATAACTGGGAATTTCAGACTGCCTTTGGGTCAGAGTTCTGTGCTAGGTTACCAAGAAGGTACAAGAGGATGCTAAGGCAGAGCCTTGCATTTAAAGAGCTTACAATATGTATGGAGTCAGGCATGTACACAAAATACAATCCCCTAGGCTGCCCAGGTGGAAAGCAAGCTGAAGGGGCATAGTCATGTATTCAACCTTATTTTATTCTGTGCTCTTGCCTAACATATTCACTCAACCGGGTGTCTCTATGGGACCATTCTCGTATTCTACTGCTTCCCTTTGTAGATCAGGTCCTCTCTTCCCTCTCAGATCTCTTGTCTTTCAGAAGGACACCTGGAAGTGTAAAAGCTAGGGACGGAAAGGAATGGGCATGGATATTAAGGCGTCATGTGAGCAAGGACATGAGGAAGGGAGCGGATGAAGTCACGTGGATCCCTGGCAGCAGAGCTTGTCAAGCAGAGAGAACAGCACACGCAAAAGCTTGGAGATGCGAAGTGCCTGCCACAGTCAGAGCACAGGAGGCCATTACAGCTAGAGCAGGATGAGCAAAGAGAGCCATGGGAGCCAGGGTCAAAGAAGATGGGCCCGATGGTAAAAAGCTGCACTGTCCACTACGATAGCCATTGCCCTCATATGGCTTTTTAGCCTGTGAAATGTGGCTGGGGACAGAAATTTATTTATTCTCTCAAAGTTTAATTAAAATTAAAAAACTAATAGTGCATATAATTATCAGAAAACTTTTTTTTTTTAATTTTTTTGACAGGCAGAGTGGACAGTGAGAGACAGAGACAGAGAGAAAGGTCTTCCTTTGCCGTTGGTTCACCCTCCAATGGCCGCCGCGGCCGGCGCGCTGCGGCCAGTGCACCGCGCTGATCCGATGGCAGGATCCGATGGCCAGGAGCCAGGTGCTTTTCCTGGTCTCCCATGGGGTGCAGGGCCCAAGCACCTGGGCCATCCTCCACTGCACTCCCTGGCCACAGCAGAGGGCTGGCCTGGAAGAGGGGCAACCGGGACAGAATCCGGCGCCCCGACCGGGACTAGAACCCGGTGTGCCGGCGCCGCTAGGCAGAGGATTAGCCTAGTGAGCTGCGGCGCCGGCCTATTAGAAAACTTTTAAGAATACCTGGAGCTACCTGGGTATGTGAGTGTACTTATGAAATCTAAATACAAATCAAGTATTACCAATAAAAACTGAACAAGCATGTTTTATAAGAAACACAAGTTTGAAGATTTGATACAAAAAAAGGAATTATACTAATAATTTTTATACAGATTACACATTGATATATATTAAAATTAACAATGTCTTCTTTTTATTTTTATTTACTTGAAAGGCACAGAGACAGAGATGATCCCTGGCAGGTGACAGGGAGAAGGTTAGTCATCATTTTAGCCACCTCTGCATCAGCAAGAAGCTGGATCCAAAGAGAGTTAGGACTTGAATCCAGGCACCTCTGATAGAGATGTGGGTATCTCAAACAGCATTTTAACTGCTGTGCTAAACTCCTGCTCCTGTTTGCTTTTTATTTTTGATAGCACAGTTGCTACAAAATTTTAAATTATATACATGGTTTGCATTATTTCCTCCACTGGACAACACTGGTAAAGAGCCCTATGGGTCACTGTAAGGATCTTGATTTTTAAGGCATGAGTTAGGAAGTCGTTAGAAGATTCTGGGAAAACAGATACATTACTTAGGGTTTTAAGGATCACTTCTGGTGGCAACCGTAGGAACAGACGAATGTATGCAGAAAGGGGTACAAGACAAAAGCAGGGAGACTAGGTAGGAGGCTATTTCAATCCTGAGAAAGGTTGGTATTTCAGAGATGATGGTAGCCTGGACTAGGGCAGACACTGTAAAATTCACTTGGCTTCCAGATCACTGTTGCAGTTTGAAATGATTGTTAAATTGGACGTGCTGTTGGTCTAGATGTGGGGTATGAGAACAGAGGGTAATACTTAAGGTTCCTGCCTGAGCACCTGGAAAGACTGAGTTGCCAGTTCATGAGAAGGAGTTTGGGGGAGGTTCAGGTTTGAGTGGGAAGTTCAAAAGTTTAGCTTTGGACACATCAGGATTGAGAATCCTATTAAACATTCAAGCAAGGACGTCAAGCTAGCAGTAGACTATTAACTCTAAAGTTTAGGAAAAAACTGTGGGCTGGAGATACAAGTCGGAAGTTGTCAGCACATAAATGGGATTAGTTCACCAAGGGAGTGATCTGGATAGAGAAGACCTAAAGATGGTGCTCTGCAGCCAGCGTAGGAGGGAAGAAATCCAGGAAGCTGTATCAGAATGTTTCGAGGATGGAGTAATCAACAATAGCAAATACTCGTGATCTGTAGCAAATGATGATGATGAAGACCTGACCACTAGATTCAG